CAAAGCAGACCCAACGACTACAAGAGAGAAATTGGAAAAGAGTCTTCAATGACTTCAATTGGTCTTGGAGAATCTCTCTTTCCAATTTCCATATATACAAATAAACGTTTCTTTGTTTCCTTGTTGGCTTCATTCAGAATATTGGATTCAACTTCTTTCCTTAGTTGACATATTCCTTAGTTGGCACTTGACATAATTCAACTGCTTTCCTTTTCATCAGTGAGCGCGGGTACCCAGTGTGAGTGATGTGATGTTGCCCGAGGGGATAATCTTGATTCATGTTGTTTCCCTAGGGGCCGATTATGAGTGATTGTGAGGTAGCCCGAGGGGCTGATTCTGTTGATATTTTGCCCAATGGGCAGTTTATGGTACATGTCTTGCCCGAGGGGCTGTTTACGTTTCTATCATTTATACTCGCCGTTTCATTACTTGTTGAAACCATTGAAAGATGTTTTTAAAAGAAAAGGTTTTTACTGAAACTGAGTTGTTTTACGAGATAATTGATTTCTGTACTATTTTGGAAATGTGCTGTATTTGTTGTGGTGCTATGACATGGAATTATCTGTTTTCTTACTGCTCAACTTTCATTTACTTTTATTACTTACTGAGTTGGCATACTCACATTACTCCCTGCACCTTGTGTGCAGATCCAGGAGTTGCGGGTCGCGATAGTGAGTGCTGATCGTTCTTCCAGCAGGTCTTCGTAGTTGGCAAGGTAGCTGTTTGGCGTTCGCAACCCTACACTTCTCCTTCTTACCTTACTCAGACTGTTCTTAGTATTTTATTTTCGTACTATGATAGCCTTTCTTATGTTTAGACAAACCTTGTAGTTGCTCGTGACTTGTGACACCCCGATGTCGGGCTTGTCTATTTACTTTGCACTGATTATTTAGATCCATGTTATGAGATATTGTCATAACGGAACCAATTTGTTTAACCAAAAAATAGGAATTTCGGTCAAAGCCTATTTTTCGAAGTACTCGGGTTACTGATAATCAAGAAAATCAATATACTGGCAGTAAAAAAGGAAATTATAAAATTGTAAAGTAATCAATAGAAAGCAAAAGTAAATAATTGTATTCCAGAACATGTCCGTATAAATGACATTTGTTTTCCTTATATGGTCATCTCTAAGTACAACATCTTTTCCCTTTTATGTTCGAGTCATTATTGACATTAATGACATTAATGAAACGTTATAATTGGTAATCGTAACTCTTTTGTGAAGATTTTGTAACGTTTGTAATCATTCATGCTCATTAATTGAAGACCAGTGAATCTATCCTTTTTATTGTCTCGGTTCATTCCACCGGTGCCTCTTCAAATCACTAAAGAGACTCGAACAACCGTTTCTTCTCGTCTCTTAGACGTTTTGCTCATACCTATTAGGATCCACATCTTTTTTAATACTCTTCTCCGGCTGTCGCTTTTCTAGTGATCCACATATCTTGTCATGTCAGCCACATAATTAATTCCATGTGTTATATTTATTTTTCCCAATACATATAGCTAGGTAAAATTAAATACATATTTTTCGCATATATATATATATATATATATATATATATATATATATATGGTCCTTTTTATGCTAATAATACTAATTAACAATAGACCCTCGTTTCCTTTTTCGTTTTAACGGTCTAAAAGTTAGTTAATATAGGTTTAGTAGTCTTAATTGGTTGGATAGGCGAGAATAAGGTGAAGAGTCTCGTTTGCTGATTAAAGAAGCTTATAACAGTAGATAGAGTACATGGCGTGTAAATTTTATTAGTAAAACTAGTTAATTAGTTAAAAAATATCCATGGTAAATTAGTTGATGTAAAAAAGATAAAAGTATATATATATATTGTATGCGTGTGCCCTCGCGCGCGTAAAAGGTAATCAAATGAATAAGAAAAAATAAAATTTAGAAAAGTAAAAAACGTCCATTAAATAAAAAAAATAAGAGCATCATGTACCCTTTTGTAATTTTATATTAACAGAATTCCAAGAGAACGATCACAATTTAGGAAGGAAAGTTAACTCTCATTTTATAGAGAGAGAAATATATTATCGTTTTAATTAACTGATGTTCAATAATTAGTTATCATAAATATTAATAACACAAATATTTATATTTCTTTTACAGGAGAGACTTTTGATTAGGGGTGTCAATGGTTCGGTTCGGCTGGTTATTTTATAAAATTTGTACCATATCAATTTTTCGGTTATTTTATTATGTATAACCAAAATTAGACTTTTCGAAACCGTCCCAATCATGTCGGTTTCACTTCGGTATCGGTACGGTTCGATTAATTTTCGGTATTTTTTAAATATCATATAAAATTCACCAGTAAAAGTAGAATGCAATAACGTACGTTCTTTTATAGGACTTAGCGAAACTCTCTAGACATTTTTACTGTTTAAAGGATAATGAATTACAAAAAATGAAAGATGGCTAGAGTATAGATACACAACTATTCGACACCAACGTAAAAGAAACCAAGTAAAAGCAAAGAAAATATAAATCACACGAGTGGAAAGATATAACCAAGTTGGGACTCAAGAATAAAGTCTATATTAAATATTTAAAAAGATAAATCTAAATTGTATAAAAGGAAACATATTCAAACAATGTAGTTTGCCACTCATAATTGTTAGAATACTTTGTGTTTTGCTAATAAAGATACTTGAAATAGCTTAGTTTAAGTATAAGTAGCAGAATATGTTTTAAGAATTAGTATTTTGAGTTTAATTACTTATTGGCTTATAACAGTTTTCATAATTCCAAGACCCAATGAAAAATTTAATACTTTATTAGTTTTAAACTTACTATACGAATATATTTTTCACATGTAAAATTTATTCGGTATGGTTCGGTATTTTTTCGGTTTATTTTTATAAAATAAAAAACCTACCCTAATTATCGGTACGGTTATAAATTTATATAAAAACCTACGGTTTCTTTAAAAGAAACCTAAAAAACGGTTCGGTGCGGTACGGTTCGATCGATTTAGTCGGTTTTCTAATATCCATTGACACCCCTACTTTTGATCTTACACAACTCTCTCTTTCCATTATGTTTAATTAATTTTGATTCTTTTTAAATCCTTTATAATTTTTTTGACAGAAGAAACATGTAAGGACATCTCAAATCAAACATAAAAAAACTCATTTACATTAGTATATTCAGACTTGGATAAGGGGAAAAAATACATAAATTTTTGTAGTTGATACGTAAAATAAAGGTATCGATATTTTTTCCTATATCTAGCTTAAACATTCGTTCTAAGAAATGTCATTTTTTTTAATAAAAATGCGTGAAATAGAGAACTAGGAAGAGACAACAAATTTATTAGCCTCAAATCTCTCCTGAGAGCAATGACATAAAAGAAAAAACATAAAAGATCAAGATTCTAAAAGATTGCAACCCCATAGGTAGGAGTGTCAACAGATATTCGAAAACCGACTAAATCGATCGAACCGTACCGCACTGAACCGATTTTTAGGTTTTATTTTAAGAAACCGTGATTTTTATATAAATCTATAACCGCACCGATAATTAGGGTAGGTTTTTTATTTTATAAAAATAAACCCAAAAAAATATTGAACCGTACTGAATAAATTTTACATGTGGAAAATATATTTATTTAGTAAGTTTAAAAATAATAATGCATTAAAGTTTCTTTGGGTCTTGGAATTATGAAAACTATTACAAGCCAACAAGTAATTAAACTCAAAATACTAATTCCTAAAACCTATTATGCTACTTCTACTTAAACTAAGTTATTTCAAGTATCTTTATTAGCAAGACACAAAGTATTCTAGCGATTATGAATAGCAAACTACAATGTACATTGAATATGTTTCCTCTCATATAATTTAGTTTTATCTTTTTGAATATTTAATCTTCCATAGACTTTATTCTTGAGTCCCAGCTTGGTATATCTTTCAACTCGTGTGATTTATATTTTCTTTGCCTTTGTTTGAGTTCTTTTACGTTGTTGTAGAATAGATGATGGATCTATACTCTAGCCATTTTTTTTTGTTAATTCATCACCTTTTAAACAGAAAAAATATCTAGAGAGTTTTGCTAAGTCCTATAAAAGAGCGTATGTTATTGCATTCTACTTCTACTGGTGAATTTTACATGATATTAAAAAAATACCGAAAATTAACCGAACCGTACCGATACCGAAGAGAAACCGACATGATTGAGACGGTTTCGAAAAGTCTAATTTTGGTTATACATAATAGAATAACTAAAAAATTGGTATGGTACAAATTTTATAAAATATTTTCGAAAAAAGGTTTTCACTCACTAACCAAACATGAAAAAATAAGTGATAAAACCACTCATTTTCCATGAAAATATTTTCTAGGTTTCCTTCCTACCATACACACCCTTAGTGTTCCCTTTTTTTCTTCTTCCATAAATCGTTTATAATATAGTCTTTTTGAAAGACATAGAACGTTTAATTCATATATTAATATTGTTATTTATATTGATAAGAATCAGTTCAAGTTAATAAGATGTTAGCCATATGTTGCATTACATTACATTGGATATTGTTGCAAAAAACATATTTAATAGGATGAAGATTTAAATAGTTAATTAAAATTCTAAAATATTTCTACTATTAAAAGTAGGCAATCTTTCTTTATTTCTTTTTTTTTTTTTTTGTAAATTTGTACTCTTTTCTACAAAGTATAATTTAATTATTGTTTAAGCAAAACTAAAATTATAAAATCTATCATTAAGGCCTCAAAATTTTGGGAGCAAAAATAAATACTTTACTAGCTTCTCCTTTGAGTCACCATGCAAGCACGTTGTGCTCTCATGACAATACTAGCTTTTTGTATGCCAAACATTTGCATGGAAATATTTGTTTCAAACAGATTTTTCATTACATTGGGAGATTGGAGAAGGGATAATGGAAATCAAAATCATATATAGACTCGCTATAATAGGATTAATACAAGTAAATAAGTCAAAAAAGCAAATGTTAACATTTCAAAGTTGTAGCAGAAATCAGAGGACTCTTAATTTCTTCTTCTTCTAAATTCTGAGATTTGAGTATCAAATAGAACTTAGTAATGTAGATGAACTTGAGATAAACACTTCATCTTTCCTCACAATTCTTAGCCTCTTCACGCGATCCGTAAACTGGCTGTTCATGTAGTCATATAAAAAATAAAAGCTTAAGTTCTATGCACCGACGATATAACAGATACTTAAAACCTGCTAGCATAGGTTAACTGTAAAAATAGCACGGGCTAGCCAGTTTTCGGACTGGTCATTCAAAAATAGTCAGTGTTTGCAAAGTCATTGAAAAATAGCTACTATTTTGCTGTAATACGAAAAGTTCCAGCATAATATACTGGAGATCGGTGCACCTGTGTATGAACTTCCAGCATATTATATTGGAACTCCAACACGCGGAAAGTTCCAGCATAATTTACTGGAGATTCGAGCACATGTGTATGAATTTCCAGCATATTATGCTGGAACTCCAGTATACTTTGCTGGAACTCCAGTATGTTATACTGGAATTTCAATATATTATGCTGGAATAGTTTCCGGATTTTGAACAATGTTTTCGTTCAGATTTATCTTTACATGAAAAGTGGCTAAATTTCGATTACTTTTGAAACTGTGACTATTTTTGAGTGACTACTAGTAAATCTAGCTACTGCATGACTAATAGTGTAAGAAAATCTTTACGCTAATAGCCAAATTATTCATAAATAAAGGGGGGAAAAAAGAGAAGTTTGATAATAAAACTCACTTCCATGGAACATCTCCTACAGTCCTCCACTGGTCATCCCTGCCCTTGTAAAATAGGGAAAATTCTGAACCATCTTGAAATAGCCTTAGCCCTGATATGGATTGCTTTCCTGCACAAACACAGTTATATATTTTTTCCGGTCTATATTGTCTGTCTTTTAAGGTTTTTGCCCTTAATAAAGAGAGCAACAACTGACTACGAGCCCGTTTGGACATAAGAATTTTTTCCTTTTCTTCAGAAAAATTTTCAAAATAATGTTTGGTTATGAAATTTTACAATTTTTCAAATCCAACTTTAAAATGCATTTTCAAATTTGAAAAACTGCTAGGAACCAGTTTTTCAATTGGAAAATTAGAAAGTTGTTATTTTTAAGTTTTACAAATTTACCCGATATTTTTGAAATTTATAAAAGGGCACAATCAGTTATTAAACCTAGGTAACACCAACAACTACTCACCATCTGATTGAGTAGCTTTGGACTATATTTTGACATTCACTGCTGAGATCTACAATTTATACTTTTACCTGAAGGAGCCGCTACAAGTTCTATTAGAAATTATTCGTATAGTTAAACAATCAGCATGTTTGATTGTTTGTTTCAAGTAGGATAATCAAATCGGGGTGGTTTTGATATTTTTTACAAACTATGGGGTATAAATTATATTTCATGGTTTTGAGAAAAGTACATCCAAATATGTTGCAAAAGTTATAATCAAACACAACTTCTACTTCAAATCAAATTTTATAAAATTCCAAATTTGAAAAAAAAAATCTTGGAATTTATGTCCAAACGCCTACTACATCTAATTTTTCTAAAATGTCCAATATATTTGTACTATAGAACATACCAAACATGTCTTCTAGTTGAATTGCAAGGCTAGAATAGTCTGAATGTTCAAGAATGCAAATTTTTCTGCCAACAATCACTCTATCCATGTTAACTTTCACATAAGCCCAACTCTCTTTGCTCTGAATTCCTTCAGCTTCTTCATCATAACTTTCCAAAAAATTAGTTGGATATTGATCTGTTCTTGAATTATCCCTTAGTTGTGGATGCAGATGTTGCCAATCTATCAGCTCATCATAGCCACCTAACAGTAAGTACTGAATAATGAGCAATCTCACATTTAATTTTTTGAGGAAAAAAAAAAGATGGTGAAAGACCTAATAAGCAAATAAGTTTGATAGGATCCTATATGTATATGATCATGTGTTATGTTGCTCCGACTTTTCAAAAATATTGTCGGGTGCATAGCGGATCCTCCAAAAGTAGTATATTTTTAGAGGATCCGACAAGGGTACAACAACATCAGTGGCGGAGCCACGTGTACTCAAGGGGTGTCGCTGACACCCCTTTATCGAAAAATTAAACTGCGTAGCTAGGTAATTTCTGTAATAATATGTATATATACTATGTATTGACATCCATTGACTTCTTGATAAGTTTATTTCTTTATATTTTGAACCCCCTAATGAAATTTCTGGCTCCGTCACTAGGCAGCATTTTGGAGAAATGTGTAGGGGTGGAGGTAGAAGCCCAAATACGGTTTCGACTGAAACCGATAACTTTTATTCAAATAGTGTATTTGTATTAAAAAAATTATTCCGTACATACACGTTAAATTTAGAATTAGCTATTACTAATTAGCACTTGAAGTCGTCTTTCAAAAATTTAGAACCTATAAAGTTAAAATCCTGACTCGTCGTTCTAAAATTTAGAACCTATAAAGTTGAAATCCCGACCCGTCGTTCTAATATTTCTAACATTTTTGTCTAAAACTTCAAAGGAGACAAAGGTAAACTAAATGCAACTCAATAAAAGCTTGTTAATTTAGAATGTCATTGCAAAAACCAAACATGGAAAAGTGAAAAAAATGGAAAAACACATACATACCATGAACAGATGGATAATAGGCCTCAGGCTGCAAAACTCTAAGGCTAAGCCCCAAATCAATGAAGTTACCATCCTCTCTATTGCCTTGATAATAAATAGAAGGAAGAGTAGCATGGTTTAGGAGATAGTTAGAAGAATTAGAATCCATTTGACTCTTTCACAAAATAAATATTTGTTATGTTTGTGTAGATAGAAGCAAAAGAGATGCTTGAAAAAAAGAGACATATATGCTCTATATAAAGTAGTACTATAGTTTAGCGGCTGATCCAGAATCTTGAAGTAGTGGGTTCAAAATAGGGGTGTCAATGGACCTTTGAAAAACGATTAAATCGACCGAACAAAACCGATTAGTATTAGGTTTCTTTCAATAAAATCATAGATTTTTATATAACTTTTTAGTTGTATCGAATAATACGGTCGGTTTTAAATTTTATAAAAATAAATCGAAAAAATACTGAAACATACCGAATAAATTTAAATATGAAACATATATTTTATATATTAAGTTTAAAACTAACAAAGCATTAAATCCCAACTTTTAAATTTGTTCTGCTACTCTTATTGAAACTAAATTAGTTCTAACATCTTGAGTAGCAAACCACAAGGTATTGGATATCTTTCCTCTCGTATGATTTAGATTTCTCTTGTTGGATGTTAATCTTTTAATAAACTCTATTCTTGAGTCCTCACTTGATTAATATCTTTCCACTTGTGTAACTTATATTTCTCTTATTTTTGCTTAATTTATTTTATGCTGCCATGGAATAGTGGGATGAATTTTATTAGGGATATCTTGATCCAACACTTTTTTAAATAGTAAAAATATCTAGAGAGTTTTGCCAAAGTCCTATGCAAGTACACATTTATCGCATTCGTCTAACTTGTACTAGCGATTGTTACCTGACGTTTTAAAAAAAATTAACTGAACCGTATCGATACCGAAGAGAAACCGAGATGACTGGAACGGTTCCAAAAAGTCTAATTTTGGTTATAAAGTGAAAAATCGAAAAATACGTATGATACAAATTTTATAAAATAACTGGCCGAAACGAACCATTGACACCCTAGCTCAAAATGAGCATAGACCTATATATTATATGTATGCATATTTTTGCATATACTTATACATTTTGAGCAAAAGACACTACTAAAAAACACGAATTTCTAACGTTTTTGACGGACTTTCCATTGGAAATCCCCTTATGATGAGCCAATTTCTGACGAAACGTCCGCCGAAAATTCTTGGTTTTTTAATTGTGACAATAAATTCAGTTGAACTCATAGAACGGACCTATTTTCTCTTGCACTATTCATGTCCATGCAAAACAAAACAAAGGTGCTGCAAGAAAATAAATAAATCTAGCTAGGCTCAGAGAATGCAAACAAGAGCAGGGACAAGGAACAAGAAGGAACTCATTGCCCATAATCAATCATTGTAGTGTTAGTTAATTTTTGTATTTTATTTCTGACATTTATAACATGGAAAATCTAAATGGATCAAACAAAAGAACAAGGGATGGGCTCAAATAATCCAACAAAAGTAGGGTTAATATGCTGCATACCTTTAACACTACAGAGATCTTTGTCATCTGTTCTCATTCAGGCCTTCAATTTGTGACAGTCATCTGAGGCAGCCTATCATGTTTGTATGTCTATAGTCAGTACCGGAGCCAAAATTTTCATCTAGGTGATTTAGAATATAAAAAAATAAATACACGGAAAAATTAAGGGGAATATTCAACATTTACTATATATACATAAAAATAATTTTGACCTTGTATATACAGTGTTAGTTTTTGGGGAAAGGGTTCGGCGACTCTGCCCCTATCTATAGCTCAATAAGCCTTCAACTAGCATCAGGGATAAGGTAACTCTGCCCGTTATAGTTTAGACAAACATGTGAAGAAATCACCTAGCGTTTGTTATTTTTATACTGATATTTGCACTCTGATCTTTCCTATGACTTTTACCTGTTTCATTGATCGCTAAGGCACACACTTAAATGCTTTTTTGGTTTGTTTCTTTTGACATTCTTATTTCTTTTCCTTTTAAACCTTGCATTTTCCTCTTATATATCTTGTGATCCCAACCTATATATGGCTTTGATTCAATGACACCTCATAGATTTGAGTATCTGCAAAATCTAACATGAGTAAGACATCAACACTTAGTTTTGCAAGATTAGCCAATATTTCGTTCAAGCATGTTGCACTATTCACCTCTATATAATTTGCAAAACTAGCCTATGTTTCTAACAAAAGAAACTTTGTCCATGAGTCATGACGTACTAACCTACTAGAATAGAAAGTAAGATGAGATACATTGTTGTCTAACACTCAATCAGTAAACATTTTAAAATCCATATATCAATCACAAATGAAATTTTATTTCCAAACTAGTTTTGAGAAAGCCATATCAACTAGTGTTTGTAATAATTTGGCAAAACTTGGTATGCTTGTAATCAGTGGTAGAAGTAGAATTTTCATCAAGGGAATTCAAATATGGACACCTAATATATGTACATGAAAAATAAATTAACCCCCCTTGTATAATTTTTGGACGAAGGAGGTTCGGTTGAACCCCTTCCGGCTACCTAGCTCCCCCCGCTTGTAAAGATTTGGATCTCTACGCTTGGTGTTCATAAAGTCTTTCAATAGTTCATATACAATACTAATTCAGGCAATGATTCAATACAATTACTGTCCGAATTGTAATCAAACAATAAATGACAGCCACAATATTTCCAAAAGACTTCCTTTGGCTCCTCCTTTTGATCTCCAAGATGTGTTGAACAACATCTGTAGATAGCAAGCTAAATATTACCATGTCTCTTGATTTTCCCTTTATATTCATGAACTTTCTTAGAACACCTTCTCTCAAGAACCCAACTTTTTCTAGCACCCTTTGTGATCCTATATTGTTTATATCCACCAACGCCTCAATCCTCTCCAGATTTGACCACTCTAAATGTTAGGACCGAAATAATCAGGTGTTATGCGGACGCTAGTAAAATAAACCTTGAATGACGATAAATTAGACAATCCATAAGAGATACAAATATTTAACGTGGTTCGGTCAATTGACTTACTTCCACAGCGGAGATGAGCAATCCACTATATAAAAAAGAGTCCAAGAAATCGAGAGAATAACCTCACGAAGAGGCAAACACAAATGACATACTAACACTTATCCCGTAAAGTTCTCCCCCTAAACACGACTTTCAAGCCTCCTATGACTACATTGTGGATGCTACTGAATAAGAAGGAAGGACCCTCAATTTATAGAAGTCCAAACATTTTCCTCCAAGAAAAAGGACTAGTCAAATATGAAAGATTTATAATTTTTTTTTTATAAGAAGGAAAACACAATTATAGTAAATATGTTACCCTAAAACCAAATATGGTCAGAAAATCCAGACAATACCTAACACTGAAAATATGGTAATCCCTTTGCCCCAGTACTTGTAAGCCAAGACATATCCAAGTTCAGCTCTACAACTATGACAACCAGAATTCAGTGAATTCATATTCCCTCTTTTCCTTCTGGTTTGCTATCCATATTCTTATTGCTCTTCTCCAGGAACTCTATATAAAAATGAGAACAATTAATAAATACACAACATAAACAAACATTTTTGCAGCTTTAAGAATCAATAAATATTCTCTAATTTTTGGCAGCAGTAACAAATTTAAATCTGAAATATGAAGTTATAAACTTATCGAGCACCATAAGGCCACTGTATTTGTATTAGATTTACCCGGTTATTCTCTCGATTTCTTGTACTCTTTTTTATATAGTGGATTGCTCATCTCCGCTATGGAAGTAGGTCAATTGACCGAACCACGTTAAATGTTTGTGTCTTTTATGAATTGTCTAACTTATCGTCATTCAAGGTTTATTTTACTAGCGTCTGCATGACACCTGATTATTTCGGTCCTAACAGAGTGATCAAATCTGGAGAGGGTATAATTCACTGTATTTGTAAATTATACCCTGCGGAGGCAGGGTATAATTTACATTTTACGGGTTCAGCCGAACCCAATAGATTTTGTATATACCCTTGTATTTGTATTAGAAAATGTATTAAGTTTATATTAATACTCCCTCCGTGCCAATTTATGTGAACATGTTTGACTGAGCACGGAGTTTAAGAAAAAATGAAGACTTTTGGAATTTGTGGTCCTTAACAAGCCAAAAGGGAGCGCAGAGTATTTGTGTTGTTATAAAAGTTTCTCATTAAGGGTAGAATTGTAAGTTTAAACTAAATTCTTTCCAAATTTAGAAAGGGGTCATTCTTTTTTGAACGGACCAAAAAGAAAATAAGTTCACGTAAACTGAAACGGAGGGAGTATATAATTGCGAACCCAGTAACTAAAACATATTATGGGTTCGATGCCAAGTTCAGAACCCACAAACTTTTAATCCTAGCTCCGCCTGATAGAATATAACCATTTAAAGACTTCTTTATATTTCCTACAATGCTTTTACAAAATTACTTTTAGTACAATTTATTTTAAAATCTTGCCTTTTTAATTAAATTATACATAACTTTTCATATCCTAAAATCTCTCCCTTGAGATTTTCTCTTACTTAAATGACATCTCTTCCTCATTCTCTCTCACCTAAAGTATCTATCACTATCCGTTTTCCCCAATTCCTTTACATTATGTTTGGATCATTGTTCCCCATCGTTTTATAATGCATTGTATCGTATTGTATCGTATCGTTTTATGAATATAATGTTTGGATAGATTGTATTGTTTGTTATTGTTAAATAATATTTTGCTATTTGGTTTGACTGTATCATATTGTACTAAAACCGATAAGTTTACTAAAATACCCTCAATTGTTTAAATAATAAATTTATCAAAAATTATGCATTAAAATAATGTTAAAAAATAAAACAGAACAAGCCAAAACACCTTAAGAAAATAAAACAGCGGAGTGAGACAGAAGAAGACAAAACAAAGGAGCACAACTAATAAGAATTGAGTTAAAAGCAAATTAAGAAAAAAATAAAACAAAAGCCGGCAAAACACCTTTAATATTGGCGGCAGAAGTTCTAGAAAAAAATAAAGTAGGTTATAGGTTGAAAAAAAAATAGGAAACAATCCCACCACACCAAATCGGTTGTTTCAAAAAAGGGAA